TAGTTCATGGATATGTGGCAATATACAGTATAAGCTGTCTCTTATACACATCTAGATGTGTATAAGAGACGAGAGAGAGAGAGAGAGAGAGAGAGAGAGAGAGAGAGAGAGAAACCTAGGATGAACATTTCGAGGGATGTGAGGTTCTGATATGTGCAATTGCTGGTGTGCATACAACATAATGATGGCTATGGCAGGAGTCTTCTCAGCCTTTGTCTTCAGGAGATACCGATCCTTCTAAGATGCAAGCACTAAAGCACTGGGTACGTCAAAAGCTCCCATCATCTGCCAGAGATGAAGGCGATGGAGGCAGAGAAATTCTCGATGAAGATGATGCAGAAAGGTAAGGTATTCCTTACCATCTACAAAGTGTTTGAGTCCTTAAGAAGTCAAGCAGTTTTGTAGGACCAGCAGCATGATTGGCAAACACAGAACTCCACCAGCGACAATTCTGCCCACCTGGCGGCTATGAGAGGCTGAAGAGGCTGTGGAATGTTCATGTTGCACTGATCCGAGACTGGGTAATTGCCCCGGGGGATATGCGGTATTGATGTCTGCAAGAGACACTGGACCCAGTTTCCAGCAGGTGCGGCTCCCCACCAATAGAATGCAGCAGCCAGCGGCAGGTCACCTAGAGGGGGGATGCTCGTATCACGCCCTCTTTTTTTTTTTTTTTTTTTTTTTTTTTTTGTTGTTGAAAAAGACTAATCCCTTTAAGCCCAACCAATTCAATTGCCTCTCAAATCTGGACAGGATGGCATTTCAGGCCCTTTTTATTTATCATTATAGTATTACGGGGAACCCCGTAGCAGCCAGCCCGAGTTCAAGCCTCCAACAAGGGAACATGCGGGGCCTGCGCCCGACCTGCAGGCCCCCTCTAGCAGACCGAGGGCAGGATTTCCTCAAAAAAAGAAAGAAAGAAAGAAAGAAAGAAAGAAAGAGAGTTCTGTAGGACCAGAGGTAGGGTTTCATGATCTAGCGACAGCATGTCGAACTGGGATGACGGTGGCATGACCATCGAGTTTCTTTTCCAATTGACATCCGATCTTCGCCTTCAGCTTCAAAGTCCAAACCTGCAGTCATGTTTGGGCGGGCGGGCGCCCTGTCATGGATGGACCTTTATGGCTTCTTTTTTTTTTTTTTTTTTTTTTCCCCAATCGCTGCTGGGACCTGATCTAAAATGAACTTGAAACCAATGCGACAATTTTGTTTCAGGTTGTTCGCGCATGTGAAACGATTGATGCATGAAGCGATTCACCTGAAGAATTCTGTGCTTCCCGATGGATTGCTCGAGGATCTTTGTCAGGTACCTGCTGGATGGACACTTACCTGCCTTGTGGATGAATCGTATGAACTAGTGTGAAGTTACAATCATGTTCTTAACTGTTAATACCCAGATCATGAGTTCAATTCTGGATGGATTCAGTGATATTAGGAGCTATCCCCTTTAAACTTTAAAGGTTTTATTATGATATGCCTGACAGTGCTGACAGTGCTGACAGTAATAAAAAAGACTACGGCTCAATAGAATCCTACCTACCACAGTATGGCAAGGGCTCACTGTTGGCGCATTCACGCTATTGTTATGATCCTGGCCAATTTCGAAGTACACATTCATCAGATAGTATAATGCCGTCCAATTGCAGAAAGAAATGAATGAACTTGAGAGGAGAGAGAGGGTAAGAAGAAGAAGAAGAAGAAGAAGATGATGTACACCAACATAAACAAATGACAATGCTCTTCCTCTTCGCCTAACACTCTCCTCCTCCTTTACTACTCCTCTCTTATTCACACAAGAATTAATAGTACAATGTTGAATGGCTGATCCAGAATCATGTCCGAGTTCCTCTTCTACTGCAGGTCACTTGAGGTCCACCATAGCCATGGCCGCCTCCCTCACTCTTCACTCTCATAGGCCGAGGCTATGGCGGACTACTCGGGCCTTGCCCTGATGCCCAAAGGACAACACAAAGCAGCTACGGCGCTGCTCTAGCTCAGGCCGCCATGCCTGACTCTGCCTCGAAGCTTCTTGGTGTAGCTCTACCCCAGCTGGGGTCTCCCTGCTGCAGTGCCCACCAAGGTGATGAAGATGGCTGCCACCATAGCCAGGAAAGTACCTCTGGCGCTCCCCCTTCCTCCTGCTCTTCTTCCTCCTCCGTGTCCTTGCTCCTTCCCAAGCAGCGCTGCTCCAAGCTAGCGCTGCTCCAGCCAGCACTCCAACGAGTGTGTCACCAAACTTTCACACCGACAATGAGGCTGGGCTCTTTGCCCGGCCTGAAGATATAGCGGCCTACTTGCCTCTTGGGCGGTGACTTCCAGGCCGCTCGGCCTTCCCAGCAACCGGTACCTCCTCCCTTTCCGAGGGAATCATCATTGCAGACTCTGATATTGCCCGTACAGGCCTTAGACTCAGACTGGTTGGACTGGTACCCGTCTAGACCTAGCCTACAACTACTGGGCCTCTCAAAATGCCACTTTTGTCTTCTTCTGCTCGGCCTCCAGTAGCCGCACATCTACCTCTTCAGGGTGCGGTACCGGCCTACCTGCTACTTGAGTGTTTTTCCCCCGCTGCAATCCCTCAATGTCACGGCCACAGGTAAGTACCGGCCCTGAGGGCCCAACGAACGGACAAGTACCCTTGCGGGTCACACACACACTCAAGCCAACCAGCACTCAGACAGACATGCAGACCAGCAAGCGTGCACACACACACAGACATGGAGAACTTAGTAGCAAGCGGGAAACTCAGCAAAGCATTCAGTCCGTGAGCAAAACTTAGAAATCAACTGTGTGTCTCAGTCCGTGTTTGGTCGGGTCATCACACTATGTAAGCAAGCAAGAATCTTCTCCGTTTTACGGCCAGGTTCGTGCTTAGTACTACGCGGCAGAGCAGCACTCTGGGCTCTGGCCCCTGGCCTAACACACTCACCGGTGCATGGTGATAATCACATGAACACTGCTTAAGGTAAGGCTTTTGGGTGGAGTTCAATGTGTGTGTGTGTGTGTGTGTGTGTGTGTGTGTGTGTGTGTGTGTGTGTGTGTGTGTGTGTGTGTGTGTGTGAGATAGATAGATAGA